CCTCAAGAAAGACGCCGTGGATCCATCTCCCCCCCCCCCCCCGGGGCCCTCGGGCCCACATTCCGGTCCCGCCCCGGAAGGAATCCGGCGGGGACCGGCAGCCTGCCCCCGCCGCCGCCAACGCAAAAGAGATAGGTCGCGGCTCGGTTCTCGCACAGAGAACATGTGCTCCACGGGTGCTCTCGCTAAGAGTGCTGCCTCTCACGCCGCGCCGGGCAGCGGGGAGGGGAGGGGGAGCCCGAGCCGCTCAACGGTCTGCCGCGCCTCCTCCAGCGAGATCATCTCCACCGCCTTCCCGTCACGCACCCGCGCCGCCCGCCGCCCGTCCGCCACCCACATGACGCCCTCGCCGACGCGCGCACCCTGCTTGTAGAAGCCCGACTCCACTCGCCGTCGTAGACGTCGCCGTTGGCGTGCCGGTAGACGCCGCGCCCCTCATACTTACCCGCCTTGTACTCGCCCTCGTAGACGTCGCCGTTGGCGTACCGGTAGACGCCGCGCCCCTCCTTCTTACCCGCCTTGAACTCGCCCTCGTAGACGTCTCTAGGGTACCATACTTGACCCCCCCCCTTGGCGCCTCGTGTTTTTCGTGCCAAACCAGCGCGATCTCGGCGGGGCGTCAGCGCCTCTCGGAGGGGCATCATGCGCTCCCGGGGCCGCCCGACGGCGCGGGCCTCTTGCTGATGGCCTCCATGTTATCCGCCTTGTACTCGCCGTCGTAAACGTTGCCGTTGGCGTGCCGGTAGACGCCGCGCCCCTCCATCTTACCCGCCTTCCACTCGCCGTCGTAGACGTTGCCATTGGCGTGCCGGTAGACGCCGCGCCCCTCCATCTCACCCGCCTTGTACTCGCCGTCGTAGACGCTGCCGTCGGCGTACCGCACGACGCCGCGCCCCTCCCTCTTACCCGCCTTCCACTCGCCGTCGTAAACGTTGCCGTTGGCGTACCGCATGACCCCGCGCCCCTCGCGCTCTCCCGCCGCGTGCGCTCGCCCTCGTACTCCCCCTTCTGCGCCTCGCCCGAGTCATTCATCGCGTTGTTCACCTTGGCAGCGTAGTCACGGTACAGCTGGACGACGACCGGCTTGTCGCCCTTGCCCGTGAAGGAGCGCGCCTCGATCGCGGCGATCACGCGCTTGTTACGCGGCCCCATCCCCTCGTCGGCGCGGTCCTCCATCTCCGCCACA